GCCCTAAACCCCCCCCCCCCCCTCTCTCTCTCATGCGCAGGATGGATTCCTTTTCCCCACAGTTACCTTACATACTAAATTTATGTCAACAATAACCCCCAACAAAAGAGATACTTCCTAAAATGTTTGCAGCTTTGTCAAGAATGGACAAACTAGACACACGGACAACGGATGAAAGAATCTGAAACACTTAGATGTGTCTGAATGCTTATGAGTTTACAAATAGCATTATATAGTGAGATAACAGAATCAGAGGATAAAAAATTTACCGGCATAGGAGTTCAGCCTGTCCAAATGCAAAATCTTTATCCACTTGGGAATATCAAAATTCAAATTAATTCCAGCAATATCCTGCATGGTGACCAAGAATTGATTTATTAAGAACTGAACAATGTTGTCACCCAAAACCTTTAACATATTTTCATATACAAGAGATCACTGGTGATCAAGTTTACAACACTAAATCCCAGCCTGTCCAGTTTTCTGCCATTTTGGAGGAAGAAAACTGATCGAGAAGACATCCATTTTACACCCATCTACCATGCCCTCAATCTCTTCTTTCTAAGCGAACAGTGCAAAGTTAGTTTCTGCTTCCACTCCTTATTGCACCCCTCCAGTTCAGCTCTTTACAGATTCTAAGAATCAAAAACTTAAAAAGATATCAATGTATTACAGTTCCAAATATGATAGGGTCACCTTCAGAAGCAACTTCCATGAAAGAACAGATAATGTTCTCAGTATATTGTTCTCAAGCTAAGTTCTTACTCTCAACCATGCAATAATTACTTTTCAAGTGTTAAACCCCACTTGCCTCCCTCTTTCGAAAAAGCAAACAAATTCACTCCAGGAAAACATAAAACCCATTGAGAAAATGGGGAAAGAAAGGGATGATAGAGTTTATTATAGTAAAAATCCAAGCACAAATGCACGTGAATAAATTGTCCATGTGATATAATTGGTTTCCTCATTATTTAAGATGATAAGTACAGCTTACAAGAAAAGATGCATATAGGATTTCGATTTGTAACTCTTTAAAAGACATTTAAAACACTATTGCACAGTTGCTTTATAGTTCCCTAATTATGAGCAACCACGATTATTTTATGTGCATAACATAATACCCCTCACTAAAAGATCCACCATTTCTGAATAATGACTGGTAAGTAATGCACTAGGATCCCCGTCCTTAGTCCTTCCTGTGACATATTCCATTTTGGTACAGGAATAGATGGGGGATTTTTACATCCCAATTTGAATTCACAGCCCATGCTTTACGTGTTCTATGAGCGCATATGCACACACACTAATTTTTCCTTGACAAGGAAGGAAAATGAAGAAAGGGAAAGGGATAAATAAGGCATACACTATGGCAAATTTCAAATTGTCATAGATTCCTCACCCATAATCCCCCAAGAATTCGTTTTGCCAATCTCCAAATGAAAAATATACGCCCATGCCACTTTCTAAAAATATGAACTATTGCTGCCTTGAGTGACTCCTTGGGTGAGATAAAGAACCTGCCACGCGATCCATCTTTATTGGTTTTCAACACCACAACATCAGCTGCTGCCTTACAGCTTTCACTACTGACACAAGCCTCTTCTTGAGATTCCAGAACATCATTTTCAGTGCTAGAGAATTTTAATGGAGATTTCCACCTCCTTGCACCAGAAGATATCCAAGTCAACCACGATTTTTTCCCAAAAAGAGGTAATCCATCTCCATCCTTATTTGTTGCCTTTGAAATTGCATTTCCAGCTTCTCTTTTATGAGCATCTGTTGCATCATACCGGGGATCATTTTGTGACCACAAGCCAGCGCTAGTAATCTGCATCAGAAAAGCAGAATATGCCTTTAATTTGACATTTGAACTAGCAAATCCAATTAGTCAGCAATTAGAAGCAAACACATTTCTCAACTGTAATATCGTCATTTATATATTTCCAACAAGAGTTAACCACGTTTTGACGTTAAGTACACTATAGAAACATATTCTTGAATTAAGCATATATCAAAAATAAAATTTGATGAAGAACAATATGCAGTAGACATGCCTTGAGAAATAGGCTTCACCGAGTTAACAGAGAATCATAATTCACAAACCTTGATCTGAATAAGCTGGGCCTCAGACATTTCCGCTTCAGAAAGCTCACTCGAACAACCAGGCTTCACCATCGAATTATGAACAGTGAATATACATAAATACACACATAAATATATATAAAATATAATTCCAAAATGGATCAAAATAAAAAAAGAAAAACCCTTTGGGAAATAATTAGTAGATAATTTTACTACCCTATAAAACAAAATAAGAAACATCAAACCAGAGACGGAGATTCAAACAGAAAAATAAAAGAAGAGGAAAAACCTGTTGAACATAATTGGCGTGCATAACAACGAGAATACAGAAGAGGGTGATGGCCAAGAAAAGAAATAAATACTCAAGCGTGACTCTGATTTTGGGCGATAGCATCTCTGAGAAACGCTCTTGAACCCGTATAAACGTCTGCTCTGGATCCATGTTTCAAATGTTTTCACCAATAAATATCTATATGAATACAGATTACCTGCAAAACGTGACCAAAGGATAGAACCAATTGCCGAAACAGATAAGATGTCAAGAGGGGAATTCCGATTATTAAATTTGTAAATTTTTCACCTTGAATCTATAAAAACGGTGATTGATCGTGAGGATATAGAAACAATAACAGCATGGGCTAAGATATTTCCAAAATTCAACGATTGCTTTTCATTGTCAAATTTCAAATATGTATGCCTTAATTATACTATTCGTGTGAGTATTCGTATTATTTATTTCCGATTGGGTCCAAAATTATGCCTCTTTACCAAATTGTACAGGCAATCTATCTCTGGCCATAAAATTTTCACTCTAGAAGGGTTTTGCTATTCGTACGTCCCCACAATAGGCAGGCTTTCAAAGGGGTTGTACACACAACTCTAATTAAAGTTATGTGTACAGCTCATTAAGGAATATATATATATATATAGAGGAAAAGGTTAGTGTTTAAGTTAAATTTCGACCTCAAAATCGTGTTAGTGAATAGTGAGATAGTCAAGTCAAGACAGTAGATCTAGACTTGTTGCTTTGTAGCATCAAAAATTGTACAATTTGATTTACGAAAATAGCATCTTCCACATCCAACTTATAATACATTTAGGACAGTGTACAGATTTTTAACAAAATATGCATAGCAGTGGGGTCCATCCCCATAAAATATTCACATGGAGTCCACTTCCATGTGACTGCCTTGTAGAATATCTGTGAAAAAGTTCCCTGTATACAGGGTGTTTTCCATACATTTAAGCTTTCATCTTAATTGTACTCTTAAACTTTGAACATGGAAGTTGTTTACATATTTGTTAACTCGTTTCATAGGATGAGTTAAGTTACGCTTAAAATTTCTGGACATGCATTCAAGATAATATACAATTATGCTTTATAAAAGACAAAACAATCGAGGGTCATGTGGCAGTTTAACGAAAACTTGGGCCATCTTTCTTTATCTATGACTAACTATGAATCAATAATAAAATTTTGAAGATCAATTGATCATTGTTAAAATGTTCATTATCGATTTATTACTTGAACAATAGGGTATGGATCTATAGTGCAATTTTCCCCCTCTCTCAAAGATAAGAATGAGATTGGAGTAAAGTAAAGAAAGAGGACATTAAAAATAGATCAATTCTCCTACTTGCATTATATTTTATTCACCTGACCTTCTCTAGTGTAAAGTGGTAAGTGTGCCATTGTACGCGTTAATGTGGAGGAAAATTTTCATCTTTGTTAAATTAAAATTTTAATAACTTCAAACTAAGCGTGGACGTCGAAGGTTAAATTAAAATTTTAATATGAACAAAGAAAAGTATACACTATTTTACAACAAAAACAATTGCACATGCCATACCACATTTCAAATAGGATGAATTCATTATCTAACGCTCGGGGCCACCATATGGTTTATAATTATAAATCCTCACCATGAAGAATCCAAATGCAAAGGTATATTGATGATACCAATATTGGTATACCCGGGGACTATATCCCCAAGGACTCCATATGTGCTCCACTCACCTTTTTGCCATATGTCCTCGGGATCTTCTGAGTGCTCGAGGTATTTTGGTCCTTGAGGAAACTCATACGAATATTAACATCACCCCATGGTCCTTGAGAATAAATTCTCGGAACATACTCCACTAACAGACCTTCTAGACTTAGGTGCCTAACAAACGAACACCTAAACACCCAAGAACTCTATATCAACTCTTACACCACTTGTCAGACAATTCCATTACGAGTAGGACATTCGTTACAAATAGGATTCCATTGGATAAAAACATCCAACCGGCACAATCCTACTAGGAGTACACTACCTACTTTTATAAATATAGAACCTTGGGCCATTATTCAGATAAGTTTTTTATTATTCTTCAGTTTATAGCCTCACGCTTATAATTTCCTTTCTGACTTAAACATCGGAGGGGCGATGAGAACACACCTCGTTGCCTTTATTTCAAGTACCGGAAGACTACGATCGTGCTCAATCCGAATCATCAAACTCGAGAAATCTACAGGTACAATTTTTGGTAGCATCATTGGCGCCGTCTGTGGGAAACGCTACCAAAAGCCATGGTTAACACATGATCAGGTCTTCCTCCCGCAAGCTCATCCGCTCCCATCCTTCATCCTGCCGAAGATCAACAGCTCCCCATGAAAAATCGTCAGGAGTGCCCGCACCTCCACAAGCGATCATCACAACCAAAGCCTTTGAAGAGCTCCGTCAGCAGGTGGTCACGCTCACACAACTATTAAGTCAAAGAAATTCACATCCGTCGCCAGCGCAGGCGGAGCATGGAGGTTTTATGGCTGATGCTCGAGTACGACCACCAAACCCCACAACTGGCGGACCAGGAACCTCGGGTATTCACAATATGGCCTCGGGGTCGAGATCGATCGCCATGGATTCTGGTGAAATTGCCCGGATTATTCAAGAAAGAATTACAACTGGCCTACAACGGAATGCTCGGAGGCCAACAGGTTTCACCCCTAACACTCCATTCACGCCAGAGATACTGTCATATCCCTTGTCCGATAGATTCAAATATCCTCGTATTAAAGAGTATGATGGGACGACCGACCCCATCAACCATCTTAATGTATTCACTGATGTCATGAACTTGCAAGTTGCGCCAGATCAGGTTATGTGCAAAGCCTTTCCATAAACACTGACAAATGCTGCTAGGGATTGGTTCTCGACATTGGAGCCCAACTCCATAGCCTCATTCTCAGATTTGGCTGATAAGTTCTCAACCTTCTTTGCAAGTAGCAAGCGAATCAGGAAGACCGCGACCTCTCTCATGCAACTTCACCAGGGATCAACTAAGACCCTACGAGGATTCATGACAAGGTTTAACAAGGAAAGGCTTCAAATACCCGACCTTCACATCACAGTAGCTGTCTCCGCCCTTACCTACGTCGTAAGATGTGAAGCTTTCAAGATGTCTTTATTAAAGACCCTGCCATAGACAGTGACCGAGCTCCTCACCCGAGTTGAAAAATACATTAATATGGAGGAAACACTAAATCCAAGAAGACCTAGTCCTTCCAATGAAAAGACCGAGAACAAGAGGCAACATGATCTAATCCCCCGGCATGAGCTTTCCTGGGATAAGCGTAGGAATGAGGCGCCGTCAGCACCTCTCACTCGGTTGAATACCTCTAAGACAAAAATCTTGATGGAGGTTAAGGATATGAAAGAATTAAAGTGGCCTTCAAGGATGAAGTCGCCCCTTGACACAAAAGATATGAGCAAGTATTGCAAATTTCACAGGGATCATGGGCATACTACAGAGGATTGTCATGCTTTACAGCGAGAAATTGAAGCCCTTATCAAAAGAAGATTTTTAAAGAATTACATTGATCATGATAAACGGCCAAGGAATGATCATGACAATCGAAAAAAGCCTGGGGCCGGAAGCAGTGCTCAACCCACTGCCGGAACCATTAATATTATCATTGGGGACATAGCATCCGGCTGAGACACAAGTAGTGAGCGAAAATAGTATGCCCGCCAACATGCTCATACCCCAAGAGAATCCAGTGATGAAGTTAAAGACATCACTTTTGGTGCAAGAGATTTGGAAGGAATATCATATCCTCATGACGATGTCTTGGTCGTCTCTGCGGTTGTGGCTAACTTCGAAGTAAAGAGGATTCTGATTGATAATGGGAGTGCAACAAATATACTCTCGCAGGAGGCTTTCGCCAAAATGGGGATCTCTCCAAAACAGCTCAAAGCAGTAAAAACTCCCCTACAGGGATTTGGTGGTGGAGTCATTATCCCTGAAGGCATCGTCGAGCTCCCGCTTACATTAGGAACGGGAAATACACAAGCGACGGAGATCACACCATTCCAAGTGGTTAATACCCCAATGGCCGACAACATCATTTTGGGAAGACCCCTACTGAACAAGATCCAAACTATTGTGTCAACAACGTCCACCTGGCCGTAAAGTTCCCCACAGGTCATGGCATCGGGAATAGTTCGAGGAGACCAAACAGTTGCTAGACAGTGCTATGTTACTAGCATTTGAAGAATGAGTGCTGACGTCATACAACTTACAGACCTCGAGCTCGAGCCAAGGGGTAGATTGGCCCCCGTTGAGGATTTGGAAGTGGTCGAGCTCGAGCACAGGAAAATCGTTACTATTGGTCAGGATCTTAAGGCCAACCTCCAAGAGGAAGTCATCAATTATCTGTCCCGTAACATTGATGTTTTTGCATGGAAGGTGGAGGATATGCCAAGGATAGACCCAGAAGTAGCCGTCTATAGACTCAATATCAGCCCAGGGGCCAAACCTATTAAGCAAAGGAAGAGGCGGTTTGCGCCGGAAAGACGTGTGATCATTCAAGAAGAGGTCGACAAATTGGTGAGAATGGGGTTCATAAGAGAAGTCCAATACCCCGATTAGCTCGCTAATGTTGTTCTGGTGAAAAAGGCTAGTGGTAAATGGAGGGTTTGCATTAACTTTACAGATCTGAATAAGGCATGCCCAAAGGACAGCTACCCGCTAATTAGGATTGATAATATTATGGATAGCACATCCGGACATAAGTTGTACAGCTTTTTAGATGCATTCTCAAAGTATCATCAAATCCTCATAGCCAAAGAAGACCAAGAGAAGACTTCATTCATGGCTGATTTAGCCATATATTGCTATAGGGTGATGCCATTTGGGTTGAAAAATGCTGGGGCAACATATCAGAGGCTCATCAACAAAGTCTTCACCAATTTGATAGGGAAGAACATCGAGGCCTATGTGGACGACATGGTTGTAAAGAGTAAGAAGGTAGAGGAATACATATCCGATCTTGCAGAGGTGTTCGTCACCCTACGAAAATATAAGATGAAGCTCAACCCAGAGAAGTGTGTATTCGGCGTAGCTTCAGGAAAGTTTCTGGGTTTCATGATCACTCATCGGGGGATTGAGGCCAACCCCAACAAGATTTAAGCTCTGGCAACAATGGAATCACCAAGGACCAAGAAAGAGGTTCAAAAGTTAACAGGCAGGGTAACTGTCTTAAATAGGTTCATGGCCTGAGCAGCAGATAGGTGCTTCCCCTTCTTCAAAGCCCTCAAGTGTAATCATTGCTTTGAATGGAATGAGGAGTGCGAGAAGGTTTTTCAGGAGCTCAAGCAGACATTGGAATCTCCTCTTATTCTCACCAAACCCGAGCCCGGAGATACTTTGTATTTATACTTAGCCGTATCTCAGAATGCATTGAGTGGTGTCCTAGGGAAAGAGGTTAACAGGGCTCAACAACCTATTTATTACGTAAGTAAAATCCTACTTGATGCAGAAACAAGATACA